TGTGAAAGGAGATTCATTGGACCCATTATGTTCAATAGCCAAGATTTTTCAAATAGTCTTCCTTCTCATCATAACATCTTTGGAGAAGTGCTTGTTCTCTCCTATTTCATTTTCTAAGTGGAATCACCTTAGACAGTTTATTTCATTTTCTATTTCATTTTCTAAGTGCAATCACCTTAGAGAGTCTCACTGACATCAACATGCATTGTTGAATACAATACTGTGAACTTTCGTCTTAAAGACAAGTAATTTTCAAATCACCAGAGTCTTGAAGCACCTGAGTGGCTCAGTCAATTGAGCATCTGACTCCTGATTTTGGCTCAGGTCCTGATTTCAGGGCTGTGAGATTGAGATTAAGCCCCACTTTGGGCTCCACGCTGGGCATGGAGCCTGCTTAAGATTCTCTCTCTCCCTCCCCCTCTCCTTCTGCCTCTTCCCCACCCCACCCTCCATCACATGCGCATTCTCTCTCTCTCTCTCTCATAAATAAATAGGTTCAAAACACCAGAGTCTTAATAACCTTAAGAGATAACATTGTATACCAAAATAAAATCCTTTTTTGTTTATTAATTTTAGACATGTAATTTAAAAAACTATTCTAGAAACAATTTTATGAGAAGATATGCCAAAAGTCAATAGGCAAGAGTTTGTCCTTATATCCAAAACAGTAATGACTGGTTTGTATTAAAATGTAAATATACTTTATTAATATAATTAACCCAGTTTTCCTGTGGTGGGTATTGTCCAGGTATATATTTTACCTTCCTTTTACTTTCAACCTTCCTGTGTTTTAAAGTTGTAGGTGTGTTTCTTTTGAACAGAACGTTACTAGCTGTTGAAGTTATCTAAAATCCAATCTGGCAGTAGTGATCTTTTCAGTCCATTTACATGTAATATTATGTGACTATGTATGAATTTACTTCTATCATTTTATTATATGCAATATTTCCCCTTTGCTATGTTTTTTAAAACCTTTTTCTTCTTTTTTATCTTGTTGAATTGGCTGTATGTTACCACATTGCAATTATCCCTTCTACTGGTTTAGAACAGGGGTCAGCAAAGTACCAACTGTGGGCCGAACCTCACCCACCACATTTTTTTTAAGTAAAATCTTATTGGAATACAGTTACACACATTAGGGTGCATATCGCCAATGGTGGCTCTCCTGCTCCCACAACAGAGTTGAGTAGTTGGGACAGAAACCCCAAGCCTAAAATATTTATTATCACATCTTTTACAGAAAAATGTTGTCAACCCTGATTTAAAATATACACACTACTTTGTCTTCTGAAGTTAATGAGTTTAATTTAATCATCATTAAGTAAAATGTAAAACCTATTATTTCCAACCATCCACCTTCCATTATATGTTGACACTACTCAACCTGATTTGACAGTTTAATTCTCTTGATTTTTAAAACCACAATTATAAGACATTATTATTTATTTTAGGCTAGCCCCATGTCTCCCATCTTCTTGCTCATCGTTATTATATATATTTCCTTTTGGGGCTGTCTTTCCTCCTGAGGTAAAACCTTTAGCAGTGCCTTTGCCGTTGATGATAAACTCTCTCTCAGTTTTACTTGCCTAAGAATGTTTTTATTTTGCCCTAATGTTTGGAATAATTTTGCTAGATATAGAATTCCACATGACAGTTATTTTTCCTTAGCAGTCTGAAGATAGCCATTATATGTTGACTGACTTCCAAGTTGAGGAGCCAGCTCTGATAAAGAGGTCAGCTGTTAGCCCAAAAGTTGTCTCCAGTTTTCTGGAATACTGATTAAATGGACGTTAGAACTCCCTTTGATCCTCATATACTTTAAGTTCTCTGAAATTTCCCATTGTATTATATTTTTCTTTCCCCAAAGTCCTATTGGTTCACTTAAAATATTTTGTATTCGTGTTTTTATTCTCTTCTTTAAAACATATAAAAATATACTTATTTATAAGTGTGTGTATATATGTGGGTATATGTGAATTATTGAAGAAAGCATAAAGATACATAATCTAAGATATATTATTGGCCTTATGGCTCAAGGTAGAGAATTATTTCCCTAGTTTGGGCTTTTTCTATAAGTATCTGCAGAAAAATAAACACAGTCCAACTTTTTAAGTAGGTTCTATTATATTTCACCCATAGTAGTAGCCACAGTGAACTGGGGAAAAAATACTGCTCACCTCACTAACCCCTCAGCTTAGGGTCTGTTTCCAAACTGGATGGGTCCAGGGACTGTTTATGCAGTATTTTGTCTCTCGTCCTTCTATATATAATCTTCAGAAGCTGTAGTGCATCTACCCATTCTCTCCATTGTGTACATATGTTGACCTTTGAGGAATGATGGGAGACTAGCTGCCTCTGCAAAGTTGAAACTGAGATGCAAAGGTTAAGGTACATGTTTTAAAACTTCTGAAATTTCTTTTTTTTTTTTAAAGGCTATATCTGATCCAGGTTCTTCTGTCTTTGAAAGACCCATGTTTCAAACAGGCTTTAATGAATATTACAACAGACATTGAGGTAATTTTGCAGAACCAACAAATATTACAACAGACATTGAGGTAATTTTGCAGAACCTTTGCTCTTTTTAAATTGCTAACTTGGATATAGTGTCACTTTTCTGCCTAAATAAGAATAAATACTGGCATTGATTGTTACTTTTCCTACTTTCTCCTCAATTATGATCTTAACCAAACTTGATAAAATACAGATGTATATATGTATACTTAGCAACGTATATGTTTCATCAGCAAAGGCATCTTCACTTCTAACTTTAAAAAGTTCCAGGCTGAAAAAATAAAATAAAATAAAATGCAAAGGAGAAAACCTAGAACTGCCAATAATCTGAAATGGAAATTAGAGGTTAGATTGAGCACTTGACTGAGTAGTTATGAGATAGTGACTTGTTTTTTGGGAAAGAGGATTTCTTCTGCCTTGAACGGAACTGCATCAAAAACATTACTCATTGTAAATTTCTTGGAAGATGATATTTGCCAGACTGTATAGTAGCCAGTAGACTCTGGCTCAGTTTCGATGACGGTGATATAGGGATTATAGAATGACAGTTCTTGAGAAAAAAATAATTTTGGATTTTCTTTCTTGTGTTTTTCTTATTTCTTTAGTTCACTGTAGATGATTTATTTTTGCCTTAAAGAACTTGATATTTGTGATTTATGCCCTTCTACTTTCAAAAAGAATTAGGGCAACTTTACAAAGCAAGATACATATAAAGCAAGAAATTTAAAAACAAACACACAAAAAGCCAATACCTAACTAGCTAAAAAACCCTGAGTTGTTTGGACCCTGTTAAAATAGGCTACATTATTCTGGCTTCTGATAGTAGCTTAAGTATTACCAAAGTAATACTACAAATTTACTGTTATAGCTATTTGAGAATAATTTAACTGAGCATATGTGCATATATATCATATATCTAGTCTGAAAAATTATGAAAATACTGATGCCAATTATCTCCTCTCAAGTGAAAAAGAACAAGTGAGATATTTTTCCATCCCTATCATTTTTGCTATTTTAAAAATTTTTTTGTTGTTTGGGCAGATTAAGAAGATAGTTAATTCATGGACAATTCATATTGTCCATTTAACAATGGATTATTTATTAAAAACACAAAAACCAGTTTTGGCAATTAAAAACAACATAAGGAATCATGTAATCCACCAACATTTTACATCTGATATTCTTAGAGTCTCAGCTTATAACATACTTACATTTTTGTATCCCTCTTAAATAAAGAGCCAAATCAATAGAAACTAACATCACAAGTTTAATATATTTTAAAATATAGAAATATATTTAAACAGCACATTTGAAGAATCATATAATAGACTTCCATTTCTTACTCTTACAATGGTACACTATTTATTTAAAAATATATTACTTAATGTACCCCCCAATATAGTTATTATCAAATTTTCTTTGATAAACTGTATTTTAAAACAACATTGTAATATACCTGAATTACAAACAAAAACCATAATATTTTTGAAGCTATTCTGATATAAGTTTTATTTAAAAGTCCAAAAAGGTGATTAATAAGTGGTGCTTTATGAATATTTTAGATGAGCTGTAAATAAGCTTAACCGTGGAGCCACCATAAATTGCAAGTAATCCATCTAAATGTCATTCTTCCGAAAGTTAATGTGCGTTAAAGAAAAGCCTTAGAAGGCAAAGAAAGAAAATAAATTAATTTCAGAGGGAAGAATACACATGCACATACACACAACAGAACCTTCCCATTTGGAATTATTTGTGCTTGGAGGAAGGTTTACAAAATCCCCTTACAAAATAAGGTTTTCATTGAGCTCGTTCTCAAAGATATGAAAAATGGATTTCAGCTGTTCTTTCGAAATGGCAATTCTGTCAAAGCCATTCTGGGATTTTTGGTAATTTCCTTCAATTTAGCTTCAGTGCTTTTACTCTAAATAAAATCCCTTGCATCACATCAATCAGCAAACTCAGTTATAAAGGAGAGCTAAAGAAAATGGCTCTGTCGGCATCTTTGCTCGCTATGTTTTATGTATGCAGTGACTCTTGCCTGTGGGGAGGGAAGTAGAGTGCATGTAAATGTTTCTTTATTTTGGACTGTTTTTAAATCTGAAAAAAATCTGCAGCAGTAGTGTTCTAGATAATAGGCAGACATGATTTATTTGAGGTAAGAAGGTTGTACTACAATTTTTTAGTGTTAACTTGGAAAGTTATGGACACAGGCTCAAGCCTGTCTCCACAGAATTCCTGAAGCTTTGAGCGCTTTGCAAAATCTACAATACACAAGCCAAGAAGGAACATGTTCCCCCAGTTACACCAATTCTGTTAAAGCAAACAGTTACAACAATTATGTGTAATCTTTCAGCTTCTACGTTCTGCCTACCGCTTATTTATTCAAATCCAGGTCAACATTTCACTTTATCTAATGAAGCAGAAACTCTGAAAGAAAAATTGTGTTTATCCAAGCATTTTTGTTTGGGGTTTTTTTGTTTGTTTGTTTGTTTTTTAGTTTTATTTCTAAATAAATATCCTATCAGTTTTCACTGGCACAACGTAACCAAATGCATTCAATTTCCTTCACCAGTGATTAACATGCAAAGGAGTTCTGTCTAATTTCAGAAAATTATATAAAAATCGTATTAGAAAAAATGTTGAAATGGAATTGAATTGGACTTAGCATATCCCATTGAAAGTTACACTGGGCTATCTATTGTGTGATAGACCTATAAAATAGATTTTGTTGATAAGGCATCCACAAAGGAGAATATATACCTTTAAATAAATAAAAGTGACTATATACACAATATTGTACATAGGTACAGAGATGAAATGAGCCAGACTAATTTTATGAAATTCCCTTGTCTGAAAGCATACTTTTTATTATAGTCATAAACCTTAATACAGAACTTTTTCTTGTTACCATTATTACTTAACATCAGTGGCAGCCACATGAGCGCACTACCATATTTCTGTATTTTTTCAAAATGACATTGGAGCTGTCATCAAAGTACAGCACAGAGATGGCATTTAATTTGGTTGGAGCACAACAAGGCTTTGGTACGTGGTCAGGAAACATCAGATGAACCTGGGAAAGAAACACATGTTTTGTTTTTTTAAGAAACAAGATAGACATTTTGTCTACAGCTTTCAAATAATATTCTTGTTTGTCACACTATCAGGCACACCCTTAAGCTATCACTCTTCTACTTACGTTCAATGGCTGAGTTGGGGGTTGGGGACTGGTAGTGAAGGATGTATTTTTAAGCATTAACACCTAGAGTCAACTCACCAGTTCTAATTATGTGTTGGGGCCTTGAAAAATATTCTACCAAGTAAGGAAAACTCCTTCTATGGAATATTCAGTGGAAATTTTCCTGGGGGAAAGAACATGGCAACTAGCACTGAGTTGCTTTTGCTTAGAACAATTACTTCTATCTACTTCACGAGAAATATAGAAGTTGTAAATGCAAATCAATGAAGGGACACAATTAGACTGTAGAAAGATTTGAATCTAAGAATTATTTTTTAAAGGACAATTAAACAATAAATCATAAAAGTTACACCAACTCTTAATTTTCCACAGTAAAGGAAACATAAAAATCACAGCAAAGTGAACTCCAGGTATAATCCAAAACTTGTTTTAAAGCAATGATTTCAACTCTTCTCTACAGAATTTTTTACCAGACTGGCTGGAGTTTAATATCCTTTTACTTTCCTTCTCTCCTAGACAAGTGCCAAAAAGCACGTTCGGCTAAATCAGAAGTAAGGAGCCTCGATATTTTACAAAATGAGTATCGCTCTCTTCCAAAGCCTCTAAAGGTAGATGTACACTGAAAGTGAAATGCTTAAGTAAACAGTTTATTCTCATTTTGACCAGACTGGCAGTCTGCCTATGATTTGCAATCATTGAGCAAGGAGCCAGAACATGGTTCCCCCTTTCCCACCCACCTACCCTGGCCCTTCCCCCAAAGGAGTTTATGGGAAGTCCCACTGATGAGTCCTAAGGGATCCACAAAAAGCTTCTCAGAGTTTTGGCTGCACAGTGTCCTGGCTGAAATGATATAGGAGCCCTGCATGTGGACAGAAACAGCAGGAAAAATGAGGTGATCTGACATGAACTTGAAATTTCCTAAGACCTCACAAAACTAAAAGTTGGATAGTTTCTACAAATTTCAGATGCAGCTTGTGTCCCTCATCAGCTTGATCTTCTATGACCTACACATATATGATTGATAACCCCTTGTTTCAATGACCTTGGCAGCTTCGCAAAGCAATCGTTCTGAAAAAAAAAAAAGGATTGTTCTTGAATGGTTTCTCAAACATATTAGTCACAAATATGCTTTCCTTTAGCAACAAACATGCCTGTCTTCTTGTTTCATGTCCTTCACAGAACAAACGTACAGAGTGCACAATGCCAGGGAAAAAAAAAATCAAACTTCCCATGTATGCTTCAAGTTTTGCAATGACGTATGTCCTATATCCCAGGACAGTGAGGCAGAGCAGGGTCTTGTTCCAAGTCCCCGTCAGATGTTTTTTTTTTTTTTAATGTTTGTTTTTTGACACTGCCTTCTAGACTACAGCCCTAAAAGCTGACACTACGTGGTTATATATTCATAAGAAAAAAGAAAAAGAAAAATGAGAGGGAGAGTATTTTGACAGAGTTTTTTCAATAATTAAGCATTGCTTAGCCTGAAGCAAACTTTGATACATTAGATACATATTCAATGAAGCAGCAGTCTGCTTTCTGAGTCACTGAGATGACAATATAAGGAGGCAAAGAATTTTCTGAGATATTAAGTGTCATTACTCTATAAACTAAGAGTGGCTGTGGCTTTGACCCTACGGAAAGACGGTGACCCTGGCTATTCTTCCAAGGCTTGAAACAGCCACATTTCTCTTTCTGTGATTGCCTTTTGGGTCATCATGAATTCCCATAGGGCAAGGATAGATGGCTAGGGTTCACAGAGATTCTTTTTACTGGAAGAAGTTGGAATACAACACACCCATCCTTGAAAAGCTCCCTATCCCTCAGAAATGAGATACTGTATCAAGAAGTACTTCTGTTTATAGATATAGCAAAGATGAAAGCATAACAAATCTTAAAATTGCCCCAGGAATTTCCTCTATACTTTGCATATGGCACAGAAGCAGGCAATCTCATTGGTCAAGAATAAAAAGAATATTTATAAATGACCGCTTTTCAAAATATGCATTTGTTTTATCTCTCTGTTTCTCTTTACTCCAAGGTTATTTCCAAAGTTTTTGACAACACCCGCGCTCTAGTGCCATAGATGTGCATCTTTGGTGCCTAACTCTTTTCCAGTACCTATGATGTCCAGACCAGAAAACATCAAGTCATTCAAGGATTTCATCTGTCAATTTATGTATACCATTCTTTATTCAGAAGAAAACTGGGATAGTCCTTCCATCAGCTTTAAATTTTAAATTAATTCTGAAAAAAAAAAAACCTTCTCAAGAGTCAACTCACAAATTCTAATAGTTCCGTTTTTTTGTTGATCATAAACAAGACTTACGCACAAAGATAGATTATTTTTTCCTTATGGCTACTGCTCTCCTACTGCCATCCACCAAATAGGTACTTCTGTTACTAAGTCTTGAATCTCAAACAATTGATCCTCTTCCTTCTATCTCGATGACATATAGTTAAAATGTCCATATTAACCGAAACATTAATTCAGAATTTTATCACATGGTCTATTGCACCTTCTAGGAGCCCCTCACTTGTCTTCCGGAGATTGCACCTCTGCCAAATCAGTAAGTCACACACCATAAGGCAGGTATGTCAGACTCTCAAGAACTTTCATGAGCTCATTAGATACAGTACAACCATTTAGAGACCACAAAATCAACATTTCATTATTGTTTTCACAAAAATAAGCCCAGGTTATTAGAGATTAAATCACTGCTAAATTCCTGAATGAGGAAAGGGAAAAATGAAGATGAAATTCCACCTTAAAGATTACAAAAAACATAAGGATCATGAAATAGAAATGAATCTTCTACTTATTTATATTCTACTTGAAGAAGTTTCATAATACTAAAGTATGTTGTGGAACATTCTTAAATAATTATAAAAGCCCTCAGATGAAATTCAGTAAGGCTATTATTCAATGCTTTTGCAATGATTACTAATGAATTGCTAGGTTAGAAACAGCCCCTGGGAACCTGTGTGGTTAATCATATTGCATAGTGAAGAAATCAGTACAGAGTGACCACTTCATGTGGTTACTCCAATTTTCCTAGCTGAATCCTTCCCCATTCTGGAATCAGGACTATTCTTTAAACCAGCTTGAATTTCCTGATTATACCCACAATTGTTACTTTGACTCTAAAAAGTACCAAGAGAGTTTTAAAGAAAAAAATAATGCATTTATAGCTATAAATGGATGCTTTACTTTAAAATAATGTCTATATGATGCTTGCATCATAAACCATTTTCAATTCTACAAAGACAAAGCATACCAGAGTCTGAACTATAGCATGGTTGGTGGCATTCATGTGAGCATTGAGTGGAAAAGAACATTCTCCATCACAATAAAATGCAGCATATCCTTCTGGTGCTATAATCCAGTCCTAGAACGCACACACACACACACAAAAAAAAAAAAAAAAAGAGAGAGAGAGAAAAGAAAAAAAAAAAGAATAAAAGAAATCACCAAAATAAGAATAAAGTAATTCTTAAATAATACCCATATTTAGTCTGGCTAGGTTTCTCTTCTTCATCCAACAATTATTCTAACAAGACAGCTACCCTCAAGCCCTTAATTTATTTTTAAGTTGAAGTTTACAACACAAGTATAAATATTTTCACAAGAAATTGCCCTCTGTAATTTCTCCCAAGAGGTTGCTATGTAGGATATTCATAGTATGCATTAATTCATGTATTCATGAATAAAACCATAATCATTAAATAGCATTGTAAATATTGTTTAAACAGGAAATGATGAACTCTGGAAAGTTCAAGTTAACCAGAAAGGAAAATAAGAATAAACTTAATTGAGATAATTCCCATTACTTCTTAATAACTCATTCCTGGTTTTAGAAGCCTGACAACCTCCGAAAGCTTTAATATTTGTTCCTTTTACTGTTTTTCTTTCCATTCACGTGTTAACTTTATAGTCTCTTTAGATGAAATGAATTGGAGTAAATTCTTGAGAACTGCACATGAAATTTCGGGAGAAGCCAAAAAATGGGCATATGGAATGGTTGCCCTGATTTTTTTTTTCCCCAAGAAGTAAAACTTGGTCCAAATGTAAACTTATTGAATGAATTGTGTTGAAAGTTTATCCTAAAATTTTAAAATGCTTACATTTTAAAATTACTTTTCAATGAGATAGCCCAAATTCAATTCTGCAAATCCATTGTAATAGGATAATGTAATCTAAAGACTTCAGTTTAAAGTACCAATACATAAAGACATTAAAAACTATTTTGGTTAAATGCTCCTCCTCACCCTGTTTGGGAACATATGGAAAAGACAGCAATAAAACTTTTAGGTTTGGGGAAAAAATTTTTTTTCTGTAGTTCTACTTTATAACAGACATTATAGTCCAGGAGTCTATTTCCTAGCCCTAGAGTTTGAGACCTTGGGGGCGAATGGAATTGCTCAAGTTAATCTGAAAAACTGGTATTAAAATTAAAACTTTGGGATATTTAAACAACAGCACTTTTTCCCACTTTCTAAATATCATAGGGTTACGTTTCTTCTTCAGCATAGTTGTTTTTTACTGTAAACCCTAATAATAATGTTTCAATGGTGGGAGGATAATGGGGAAATAAAAATGATGTGGATAACCCATATGCTGAACAGTCATATCAAAAATAATTGGTTAGTGTATTGGAAAAATTACTAACAAAGATTACGAGTAACTCCGGATTTATCATAAAAGAGAAAAGAAACACCTAAGTTGACTGATCATTCTTACCTGCCATCCCAGATCCCGGAAACTCACATAGAGTTCATGCTTCTTACAGGCTTGTTTTTGTTCACTGGTATTATAATCTGAAGATAAAAATCAGATTTTAAACAAATGGCAGCTTATCAGTATCCTATTATTTCTTTTGTGAGATCATTGATAAAATTAAATAGAAGCTATACGTGATGTTGTAAAATATGAACTTGAATCTTAAAGCTACAGCCACTTAACTAACCATGTGAACTGTAGGCAAATCACTTGTCCGGAGTTTCTTCTTCTGTAAAATGGAGTAATACCATTTACCTTGTGAGGTTCTGACAAGAATTTGGTTAGACTACCTGTTTTATGGTGCACAGTCTGATGCCTGCCATTCATTGAGTACTAGCCGCTCAATGAATGCTCATTTATTAATTAATTCACACTATAGTGGTACTTAATATATTTACATATATTAAATATTCATGCAATATTTTTTAACATCTTCCATGAGGCAAACACTGGGAAAGTACCAACTGGGATCTTACAGAGTTGATTTTATTTTAATAAATATATTAAAGTCAGAATACTCAAAGTTGAACTTTTGATTCTGCCCCCAAAACCTGTCCAACATGTAGACCCTTCCATTTTTGACTGATGGCAGCTTTCCCAGCAAAGACAGAGAAACAGAAATAGAGAGAGAGAGAGAAAGCCAAAATATGCTGTTTTTTCCTCTTACTCTCACATCCAATCTATCAAGAAATCCTACACATTCTACCTTCAAATAGGTCCAAAACCACCTACTCTTACCACCTCCATGACTATTCCTGGTCCAAGCTGCCATCATCTTTCACCTGAATCACTGCAATCTTCTCATTGCTAATTCTCCTTGTTTCTGCCCTTGCTCATCTACAACAAAGCAATCAAGTAGACCTTCTAACAAGTAACTCAAATTATATCACTGCCCACCAAGAAGTCCCACTGGGTTTCCCTATATCACTAAGAATGAAATACCCTCTGTGGTTTACAAGGCCCTATCTGATTTGACCCCATTACCTCTTTGACTCATTTCCCACTACTCTTCCTCCCCTTCACTCCATTCTGGCCGGGACCCCTCCTTGCTGTTTTCCATCCAGCTCAGCTTCCTCCCACCCTCACTCTTCCCTCTCCCTGAAATGTTTTCCCTTGGATATATATACATAGCTAACGCCTATAGCTTTTTCAACTTTTCATTAAAGCATCATCTTGTCAATGAATCCTTCACTAACTACCCTATTTAAGATTGCAACTCCCACTAAGGTATTCCTGATCTCCCTCACCTTGCTCTTATTTTTTTTCCATTTCATTTATTTTTTAATAGGCCAACCCTTTCACTCATTTATTATGTGCGTTGCTTCTTGTCTGTTTCCACCCCCTTGAGTGTCAGCACTACAAGGTCAAAAATCTTAGTTGGTTCTGTTTGGTTTACTGATATATCCCAAGTTTCAGAAACAGTCTCTGACACACAGTAGGTACTCAATAAATATTTGAGAAATTAACAAATGAATTCCTCAGTGTGTTCCACAAATGACTAGAAGGAAAGGAAACACATTATTTCCTTTACATATTTTAGAATATAATCTGAAAAACCCATAACCTTTTATAATTGTTTAAAAGAATTAAGGCTTGGGTTGCCTGGGTGGCACAGTGGGTTAAGCGCCCAACTCGTGGTTCAGCTCAGGTGGTGATCTCAGGGTCATGAATTCGAGGCCCGCATCAGGCTCTGTGCTGAGTGTGCAGCCTGCTTAAAATTCTCTCTCTCCCTCTCCCTCTGCCCCTCCCCCACCCTCTTGCTCACTCTTAAAAAAAAGAATTAAGGATTAAAGGAGAGCCTCAATATTGCATCTGGACTAAAGTAATACCAAAGAAACACAGCGCTTTATAGAAAATCTCTGTTGTCTTCTTTGGCATTTGTTCACACTTTATACAAATAGCATTCTAAAAGCTAACCCATTTTTATTATTTCCAATACGAAATACAAAAGGAAAAAATATAGGGTTAGGGAGCAAAATAACTTATCCTCAAAGAAGACAGCTAATTTTTTCTTCTAGGAATAATTGCTACATTCACTCTGACAGTCATCTCTGTCAAATCAATGTAGTAGTTTACTCGGCAGAGTAGTGTGTCCTAAGATGTCACCTTCTAGCTTAATTATCCTCAGCCTCTAATGAAAATGTAGGCACATCAAAAATTCATGGAGCCTGTCTTAGAGGGTCTTGTCATCCACCTCTCACAGCTACTTCACGTAATTCTTTATTTAATTTCTGCCTAGAAAACAAAATAATGATTAAATATTGAACTCAGACTTTTTTACTTCTAGGTCAGAGTTATTCCTGCTGTGCAATTAGCTTTATTAAAACAAATTAAGTATGTACATAATGATGGAAAATGGAGAAAGAGAATTTGTTTGGAATGTGGCACTCTTATTCTTCGGGTAAACTTTTTCCCTGATCAGAATGGCACAAGGAGTTAATTTTGTCCAGGCAATGGACAAGCACATGGTAACACTAAGTACAATAACATTAAATGGATAAGTTCTCTGTATCATTTTTAGGGAAAAGAAATTATTGATTCTGGTGTTAGTTTGATTACGTAAACTTTTTGAAATTTAGAAGGAAAAAAGTCAGCTATGCATTAGACCAGGGGTCAGGAAACTTTTTTTTTTTTTTTTAAGATAGTATTTTAGTCTAAGGAGTCTTCTTCCCTTGCAATGACTCAACTTTGCCACTATAGCATGAAAGCAGTCATAGACTATGTAAATGGATGGATATGGCTATATTCCAATAAAACTTTACTTCCGGATGCTAAAATTTGAATTTCATATGATTTCTATGGGAAACAAAATGTTATTCTTCCTCTGAGTCTTTTTCAAACATTTAAAAATGTAAAAACCATTCTTAGCAACTGGGTCATACAAACACAGGCCACCGGGCCTTGCTTCACCAGCCCCTGCATTAGACAATAATGGGAATATTTACTCATTCATCCTTGTCTTAATTAAAAACACTGAATGTGAATAAAGACATTGTGGCTAATAACACATACAAGTATATATGAAAAGCCATAAACTACGTATATGGTTACACGAATTCCATGTTTATAAAAAAAGTAAAACTTAAAATTCAAAATAGATCTGTTCCATCTATGCAGCTTTTCATACAGGCTAAGTGATGTATATAATGTAACATCACATAAAGGTAACGAGCAATGAAATTTATAACAGAATCTGATTCCAAGAATCTGATTTCATAGAGCGTTAGGACCATATGCTTATTCTGTCAGAAATAAAAATTAATGGATGAGTGAAATAAATGTTGTACCCAAACCAGCAAAGTCTGCAGTTAGGTTTACTATAAATGGTTGGCAGAATAAACTGAGGGAGGAAGGGCAAGGAAATTAAATTTATATCTCCAAAACATAGTGATTGATAGCCCCTCAAAACTTAAAATGAAATGAACATGATGCTACCTACCGTAGATTACCCTGCCCAGAAATAAAGAATTCTAACAGAAAATACTAAAATGTTCTGGTGCTACAAGCACACTAGAAAAGCATGCTGACATTCCTCAACCATAATGCAGATATTCCAAATGCAGCATTTCTTTGTTTTGTCTTTGAATGGTTAACACTATTGGGAAACCAGGGCCAAAATATTGGAAGTATTGCTAAATACTTAACACAAACTTCTTTATGATCAATTTCTGCAAACAGTGCAAATTTAATGTTTTTCTTAAACTTTTAAGAAGTTAGTTTGTCTTAGAAAAAAATTGTGAAAAAAACATACATAGAGGTTAAAAAACCTGAACTCTACATGGGAGCTCAAAGGTCTGTCTACCAGTCCCTGAAAACAACCAACCAAATAAATAGACATGGATTAGTTTAGCAATGAAGTAGGGGGAAAAAAATTTAAATCCAGACAACTCCATATACCAATATGGGTTTCATTTTTTATTGTTTAAATCTAATATTGGCTTAAGGGATGAAATGTAGATATATCTAGAAAAGAAAAGAAAAAAAAACCCAAAATAGAATTTAACATTTAAACATGTCAAAAGCTTAAACAAGCCAAATATGATGAGATACTGTGTTTCAAAACAAAAGAAGTGTTAGCATTCTCATGCTCAGTTCCCAACAGAAAAAGGAGACAAAGGAAGTCAGCACCTAAGCATTGGGATTTTCGCTAATTTATAGAAAATGGAAATGACGAATGAAGGTATAAGAGGTAAAGAAGCAAGAATAATGCTATAATAAACTAATAATGTAAATTTTGATATGGCCCTGGGGGTAGAGAAATTCATGTAAGCCCCAAACATGTTATAACAATCCCTTCAAAGATGAGGGATTTAAAAATGCTACTACTGGGGCGCCTGGGTGGCTCAGTCATTAAGCATCTGCCTTTGGCTCAGGTCATGAACCCAGGGTCCTGGGATCGAGCTCGGCATCGGGCTCCCTGCTCCCCGGGAAGCCTGCTTCTCCCTCTCCCACTCCCCCTGCTTGTGTTCCCTCTCTTGCTGTGTCTCTCTCTGTCAAATAAACAAATAAAATCTTAAAAAAATAAATAAAATAAAAATGCTACTACTATTCTATCTTAATCACCATCTTCCATATCCAGTGAATTCCTTGATTGAATTTATGCACAACCCACTAGGAATTACTGTTATTGATTTGTGTAGGAATAACTGTATTTGTCTATATGTAGAAATGTCTGACACAGAGCAAATACCACAAAATAATAACTATCTGATATGTTTGCTTAATTCTGCTTAGCAAAGTGTCTACATGGATGATCCAGCTAATATCTTCTTCTTTGAGCTTACTGACAAAATCTGTCCACAAACCTGAGTTTCCAACTGCCTACCAGGCATTTCTAAATAAAAGCTTCCTGGATGCCTCCTACTCACTATTTTTACTTCTGACCTTATACTCTTAAGATGCTCACTACTGGGTACCTGGATGGCTCAGTCGTTAAGCGTCTGCCTTTGGTTCAGGTCATGGTCCCAGGATCCTGGGATCAAGTCCCACATCGGGCTCCCTGCTTAGCAGTGATCCTGCTTCTCCCTCTGCCTGCCGC